TGAACGATTACTAAGTTTGAAGTATGACTATTCACAAGTGAAAGACCATGATGTTGCTATAGACACAACATTTGGTCAGATAAAGGCGATAGATGGCACCGTTCAAAGTATTGTAAGAGGGCTACGTTTTTCAAACGCAGTTGTCGCCTGTAATATGCTCTGTCTTATTGGTGGAACAATCACATTTATCTATTTGTCCACAGTCAGTAGTAGATGTGATGGTCTGGTAATTAGGAAAAGATATGAGAATATCAGAAGAAGAACAAGCCTTGCAACAACCTCCATTGAAATTTTTGTTTCGAGCCCATGTAATCATTTCCCATCCTTCGTGAAAAAAGAAGAAACCAAGTATAATGGCGATGGCACTATCAATCCACCATCCTCCAGGCCATAATTTGTAGACCAAACTTCCGACAAAAAGGACGATGGTAAGATAAATGCATGCGAGAGAACAGGCTGCTTCGCCGCGCATAACTGAACTATTGAGCTCAGTAGCGATCCATGGCTTAGGTAACCAGACAAATATCATGCAAACAAGTGAAGCAGCTGCAACAATAAGAGAAGGTTTCGAAGAATCAGGTTCTGCATGTGTGGCAAGAGCCACAATTGAAGCGACCCATGTTCCAAGCGCGAGCACAATAAACAAAAAACCGATGCCAAGAGTAGCTCGTCTCTCGAGAACCAGATTGATGGATGAATTATTTTGAAGTTCTTGACGAAAGCGATAAACAACCAGTGCAGCTGAAAGCACTTCCACAAATGATTGAATACCGAAAACGATAAGCGCTCGTGCAACGACATCAGCGCCAAGTCCAATAGACACGCCACCTTCAATTCCATTGTAGATTATGCTAATCCACGAGATAGCCAGTGCAAAAATGCGCATACGATGTTTGTCATATTTTCCTTTTGGAAAGAGACGTTCTACGAAATTGAATGGCATGGTCTGGTGATGAGAAGAAAAGCGAACAATATGATAATTTTCTGTTGAGTAAAATATGCACTCTAATTATACGATAACAAAAGGCGAATGCATACTGTGACAAAGCAAAAAAAGCTCGACATAACTCGAGTGACGAACGATAAACTTTATTTATTTCTCTAACTTAAGCGCTATCTCATATTCTCATAAGCATGAGAGTGAGAGTGAAGATATGAAGTAGTCAAAAACATTATCAAAAGTCAACACAGAATTTTCATCAACAAATATTGTTCTATATACTATATACATTAATGGCCAAAAGTATTCTCCCCTTGGATCTTAGTCACTATGAAAGCTAAGCGTCTGAAAATTCTTCTGCAGATAGTCCACAGATAATGTAGGTCAGTGATAATATCAGCGCCAAATATAGATGTACAAGAAAGCCACAGGATACCATTGAACGATCAATAAATCAGCGATAGTTTAATAGATCAATTTGAAACTTTCAAAGTGTTCCACCATTGTTTGCCATTGTGTTCTGAAAGTTTCAGAAGCAAGCACTCGCAAACTTGTGAAGACTCGGGAGCCTCCATTACTCAAGCAAATAAAGTCATCTTTTACGTAATGAAAGATCATGAGTTGGTCTATAATTTTGTTCTAAAAGATCGATAATTACTCATATATTATCCTAAAACAAACCATAAATCAGTAAACAAATTTTTTGCTATTTTTCTGCTTAATGGAGTCATCGTCTTTGTTTGTCAAGATTTGACTCAGAAAATTGTTTTGGATGACTTAAGAGTTTTATAGAAGAAAAGAAATCATCTTGTTCTAGACATCTGTACAGTTCTCCGTGGAAATTTCATAGCGAATCATGGTATATAAGGATACAGTTTGTATTATGTTATAGAAAGATTATGTTTTCAACACTTTAGAGGATAGTTACTAGAGATTCCCATACTTTAACGATGCACCTTATTAATCAATATACTTCCGATTTATCTAGCTTTTTTCCCATTTTTTTAACAGACAATAACGATATCACAAAAGTCTTTATTTTTATCATCGAAAACACTCATCAACACAATTCAAAAATTCTTTTAATTCAAAAGCAGTAGGGATTCCATGACGCATGTAATAAAAACTAATCTAAGATTTTATGATTTGTTCGTGCTGACAGATATGCAAAATAATCAATGTTGTTTATATTTTTATTTCTCTCAGGATAATTGGACGTTTCTTCATTACAAAAGTGCTTCATGTTTAGCCTTATGAAAAAAGTCATCAAACTAGCTCACTAGGATTTCTCATTATCATTCTTGTAGAGAATCTGACGGTACATCTTTTAAAAAAATAAAATTATACGATTTATCCGATGCTGAGATATTTGAAAAATACTAGATGTTGCAATCATCATAATTCACTTGGTAGTTTCTGAAATACAACAATCTTAGGATCGAGTGTCATGTTTAAAGTTTGAAGTCCCCTTTAAAAAACAAATTCAAAACGCAGCTAATGAATATTATTTTCACCTGAAAATTACACTAGATACCCTACAATGTCTTTTGGTTATTTATACACAGGATGAAGGTTAATAAGTATATGATTTGAATAATTCATTGAAAATGAACACTTACTATTGAAGACATACATAGCGAGATAAAGATGAGAAATAAAGAATCGTCTATTCTCTATCATATCTTCTATGATTAATGTCCTTCATAATCATGTAAAAATATAATCATCAAAATATATTCATAGGTTAAATATTATCAAAAAAATTTCACATTCACTCGAATCCCAAAGTTATTTTATTTATTTTGCATCTTTTTCACTTTTCATACACTTGCAAGTAAAGTAAATTGTATATTTGAAATGAGCCAACAAAACTACATTACCACATCTCGATATCTATTTTGCGTTCGTAAGCTATTCAAAAATTAAGAAACTCTAAAAAAAAAGCGTACTAAATTCTGTATGCTGGTCTTCAAAGAGCTAATGTTTCCTATCGATGATTTCTTATTATTTTCGATTGATACTTACATCGAAAATAGATTATCATCTTATTTTATTGTCGTTTTATAGATATGTAAGAAATAGTTCGATTTTCTTATCTTGGATTATATTTAATGATATAATATTTAGTCACCATTAACTATTAACAGATTTGTGTCCAATATTGTTAACATGTCAAAATAAACATGCTAGAAAGCAAAAGAACCTTGAAGAGTATGACTATGTTTATTTTTTAAATTAATTATTCTTCTACTATCATAATATTTTATTTTCTATGACCGATCTATGTCAAATGGTGTTGACATATTAAAATAAAAAAGCAAGAAAGCAAAAGAATCGTGAAAAATATGATAATGTTCATTTTTCTAATTAATTATTCTTCCGGTATGATAACGTATTATTTTCTATAACAGATCTTAGTCATTAACAAAAGACTCTCCACTTATTAATATTCTTTTTCTTTAGAACTCCGGAATCTGTTATTATTTCTGCACATATTAATTGACTATCCGTAAGAAATAACGCCTATTGTCAAATTAAACTTGAATTTTTCTAGAAGAAAATAACAGAAATATTTGTTTTTGAGAAGATATTTTTTACTTTATACTCTATTTCACAGAAGATGATTGAATAGAATGAAAAGTGCATGTTTTCATAGACGAAAAAATCGAGTTGGTTTCTATCATTTATAATTAGATTTACAATCTCTCATAACGTGTAGAAAATTGTATTTTGTTTTTTAATCGAATCAGAGTGACTTTACTTCTCTTTTACGCGTTTTCTAAAGAGCAGACTGGAATATAAAAATGGCATAATAAGCTGATAGGAGAAGTGATCATTTTCTTCGATATGATGTCTTCTGAGAATTTCAGAATAGCTTCTCTTCAAGCTCAATTAATATTTTTTGTTGATCTCAAATAAATATAATGTACTTTGATAGAGTTATGATTATTTATTTGAATATAGGAACTTCTATTTAATGTCTTCAAGATCGATTAGTGTTTTTATTTTATATGAACCTATAGAATATATTTATTAAATGATTTAACTATTTATTTTTTATTTTGTAGTGAATTCTTTCTCTCTCCTCCTCTGCATCTATTCAGATGAGTATTCAAAGACATCAATTACCAGAAAAATGATGAGAATTAGAAAGATAAAAAAGAAAAGAAAGATACAGATTGTGATATAGCCAATAGAGAATACTATATAAATAAAACTTCTATCAGTTATAGTAAGATGCTTGAACATATTATCCTCAACTTTTAGATCATCATTTTTTATGCTTTAAAAAAAGACGAGAAAATAAAATAGAACTCATTGATTGAAGATTATTAGAAATGATTGTTTTCTATCTTTTATCTGTTCAATATCGATATTGAATACATCCGAATAGATTATTATTATTAGAGATAACGTTTTTTCAATATTTTCCTTTTTTTGAATGATGAAAAATATAAAACAAAAAAGTTTGTTTTCGATTAATCGTATGTATGTTTTACTTTTACCTTTTTTGTTTTTATTTTCTTTAACCAGAGTAACTAGATTTTATTGTAACTTCTAATTGAATCGATTTTTTGTTCTTTTATCTGAGCTATTTTCTTTATCTCAGTTGATAAAATCACATGCGATTCACTTTGATTTTTAGTGATCAATTCATCTCTACTTTTTCGATGTGCATTTATATTATTCTTTAATGAAATAGATCTCGAAAATAATTTAATGAAAAATTCCGCATATAATACGTCATTCTATCATAATAGAAATATCGTGAGTAATATTATAATGAAAGATATCGAAATTTTCCATAAACAATTATCTTCGGTAATGATGTTACAAAAAAATCTTGAAAGTATTTTATTGAAGTTTAAATTGATAAAAAATATCGAATATTTAATAAGATAAGTAGATCAGTCGTAGATGAATAAGTCCTAACTAATTAAACAGCTGATAGAATTTGAATGAGTACTCTTCGTAACTGTCTTTTATTTGTTATCAATATTAAATATTTGTATAGTAAGACATGAAATATTTGATTGGATTATTTATTAATTCTAGTGAGATGTCATCCAATACAACGATAATCACAAGTTTAACTGTTGTTTCAGCTCAATTGAATCGTTATTTATCAATAGTTATACTTCTATTCGGTGTAATAGGTAATATATTAAATTGTCTTGTTCTATCAGAAAGAACTCTTCGTTCAAATCCATGTGTCTTATTATTTCTTGCTTCATCAATTGCTAGTCTTATTACTCTTATATCTGGTATTGCTGTTCGTTTATTATCTGGTTGGTCAATGGATTTAACGGATACTGTTGAATGGATTTGTAAATTTCGTATTTTTATTTTATTTTCTTCAAGAACAATAGCTTCATGGCTTATTACAATGGCCACTATTGATCGATGGCTTTCATCATCGATTAATATTCATCTTCGACATATGAGTACAATTAAAAATGCTCAACGAGGAATTATTATTATAATATGTTTATCAATTATTGTCTATATTCAAATATTCTATTGTTATCAATCAAATTTAATCGATTCTCCACTTAAATGTTATGGTAAAACAAAATGGTGTAGAATATTAAATGATTTTGAATTTGCTTTTATAAGTGTTATAATACCTTCATTATTAATGTTTATCTTTGGATTGATGACTATTTTAAGAATACGTCAAACTAGTTTACGTCGAATTCAACCAATTATGATAACAACATTTATTCAAACAAAAAGTAAAAATCAACGATCACAAACATTGAGAAAAACTGATCATTATTTACTTGCTATGCTTTTTATGCAAGTTTTATTATTAACTTTATTTTCATTACCACAAGTCATTGTAACTCTTTATTCAAATATAAATTTAAATATAAATCAAATAAAATCTCCATTAGATATTACAATAAATCAATTTATATTTAATTTATTTATTCTTCTTACTTATGTAACAAATGGAATGCCATTTTATATTTATACATTAACTGGCGGAACCGTTTTTCGTAAAGCTTTACTCAAAACACTAACAGAATTTATTCGAAAATTTATATTCTCATCAACATAACTCGATTTTCAATAAAAAAAAAAAAAAAAACTTTGCAAATCGAATTTCATTTGAATAAAAAATCATTTTTTTGAAATGATATTACACAAAAAAAAGCAACTAATTAAACTAATTGTGATAGGATTATCTTAAATGGAATTTAAAAAGATAATAAATAGAATAATCTTTGTTAGTGTTACCTGTAAATGATTATTTTTCAATAATGACATCAATTAACTTAATGGTTTTTTTTTCTCATTATTATAAACCTACTAGCGAGAACCCGTGCATACTACACGAACGCTTTTTTCCTGGAAAGTTTCACGTCTGTCCTTTAGCCTTAATTCGGTAATAGACAATCAGACAGTTACCATTATATATAGAGAGAGACCTTATACCCTTATACCTTCGTAGTCTTACCTCTTATAGCCTTATTCCGTTCTTTCCTTATCCCTTATACCCATGCAGTCTTATCTACTTATCACCTTATACTCTTTTAGTTTTATCCCTTATGCCTCTGTAGCCTTAGTCTCTTATCCCCCATCCCTTATAGCCCTTGAGGACCTTTGAGCATTCCTGTATAGTAGGCCTTGGCAGTCTATGGTACCTCCATATAATAGCTCCTGAGGACCTATGAATTCCCTATATAGTAGCCCTTGATGCCCTCCGTTTATAGCCTTATTTAACCCTTGACCCGGCACAGACACACACACTGAAACAATATTTATATATATATAGATAGATAGGAGTAGAAAAATTGTTTATTAGTTTAAAAAAAAGAGAAAGAAGAAGAAATACATAATTTTTTTGAGAAAAATCTTTTAAATGATTTCTAATTTTGATGCAGCTGCTTTATCAAGATACCAAATAAGATTTTCAAGTTGACCAATTGGATATGTTCGATTTTTATCTTCTATTATTTGTTTAACAACAGTTGATTTAGTTTCACCAGTGATAACAGCAATTTTATATTTTGCTTCATTTATTGTATTTAATGTTAATGTAACACGTTCAGGTGGAGGTTTTGGAGAATCTTTAACATATGTTACTAATCCATTGTTTATATTTAAAACAGGATGATTAGGAAAAAGACTTGCTGTATGACCATCAGGTCCCATACCAAGAAGAACTATATCAAATGACTAAAATATTAAAATAAAAAACAAAAAAAATAATTTTATTAATGATAAAGAAAAGTTATTAACATTATCTGGTTGAATAAATAGTTGTTGTAATTTATTTTGATAATCTAATGCGCATTCTTCAACAGATTTCAATGTTGGATCAATTTTAATAATATTTTTTTCAGTAATTGGTAATTGTCGAAATAATTTCGATTGATAATTTCCATAAGTTGATTCATCTGATGTAAATGGAACAAATCTTTCATCAAGAAAAAAAAATCGAATACGAGACCAAGGAAATTGAAGATAAGGAACAATTGATACTAATAAATCAATTAAAGATCCACCAGATAAACCAATTGTTATTAATTGTTTTTCATTCATCATTTTTAAAACAATTTCTTCAAGATAATAACCAACTTTTTCTGATAATAATTTATTATCATCACAGATATTTACATTTGATGATGACATTTCCTTTATAAATATCTAAAATTATTATTCAAATAATAAATAATATATACAAATTTAAATAATAAAAATACTTTATTCACAATATTTAATAGAATAATAATAATCAAAGAAAATAAATAAATAAATTGATTTCTATTCATCAAATCTAAATATAATTTATTTTAAAAAACAATCATTCATATTGACAAATAATATATAACTATAAAAAGTTGAAAAATCTACAAACATGAAAGATTTTTGGTGAAAAACATTCAAATTTTTATACAATTTAACTGTTTTTTTTTTGAAAAATAATTCTACTCGACTCTCAAGCAAAATGTATGTCAATCGAACTGAAATTTTTTCGATCAATAGTAGAAATTGTTTAGGAATGTCTACTATTTAACTCATTGAATATATCATCTATAAATTGAATTTACCAACCTTTACAAAAAAGATCTAGTTGGAAAAAAGAAACACGAATTTTCGAGGATACTTCAAGGATATTCAGATTTTTCGATTCAAATGGAATAAGATAAATAGAAAGAAAAAAAAAAGTCTAGTCATCTGAAATAATGTTAAATATGTTTAGAAAAAGTTTTCAGCTCTCTCAAACTTATGACAACTAAGACATCTAGCCGATAAAAACAGTCGATTATAGTTCTTGTCAGCCGAATATCTTCAAAATGAAAGCATTCGGGATTTTTGACTATAGAACAAATAATTCAAGAAAAATATACTCAAAAAATGAAGAGTTTTTTTCACGAGTTGTTCTCCATAAAGGTGAGAAAGTCGCCTGAAAATAACTTATGTATTTTTATTTCGAAAAATAGAAAAATAATTAAGAATAAAATTTTTAATTAAAATCGAAATAAAAGAATAAAATTTGAAAGTTTTGTCATGTTATTTATTATATTGGAAAGAGATCTGAAAAACACAGCAGTAAAACAGAAAAACCAAATTTTGACAATGTTATATGAATGATAAAATAAATCAAGTTGAAATTGTTTGAAAAAGAATTGTTCTTAATTTTCGATAACAATCTAATCTTACTTTAGCATAATTAAGATAATCAAAATCAATTTGTGATAAACCTGATTGAACTAAAGCCCAAAGTCCCCACATTAAATGTGCAAGTGCTGAAAATTTATCAATTATATAACATAAATCATCATTTATTATTTGTTTATTCATTTGACGTTCGTCAAAATATATTTTTAACCATCGTTTTTGTTCATCATGTGTTGGATATAAATTAAAATCAGCATCATCAACACCAGCATATTCAACAAAATGATTTGCAATATCAAATAAATAATAATTTAAACGTGTATATTCAAAATCAATAAATGATATTGTTTCACTTTTTTTATCATAAATTATATTTTTAACAAGTAAATCATTATGACAATAAACAAGATCTTTACCTAATTCACCATTTGGAACAAGTTTAGGAAGTATAACTTCTTCAATTGTATCAATATCTGATATTATACTTGAAATTTCTGAATAAAAAACAAAATTCAATTTGTTTGTTTTTTTTCATTTATTCATTTAAAATAAAATAAATGTCAACCTTTTTTTTGTTCTTCATTTTCACTGATTAATTCAATAAATCTTCGTATAAGTGATATAATATAAGGTTTTTCATATTTCTCAACTGGTATAGAATGAAATTGTGCAAGTTTAATAGCAATTAATTTCGATATATTTTCTTTTGTTACATCTTCTCTTGAACATGCTTCACCTCTTGTAAATTCATAAATAATTCCATTATTAAATTGTATAAGAACATGTTGTGATAAAACTCCATATTGAGATAATTTAACCATTGCATTGATTTCTGATTGACGATCAATAAATAATTCTGTATGTGCACCAAATAATTTAATAATTAAACCATTTGATTGATCATCAAATGTTCGATTATCAAAAATAGCTAAAATAGCATTTGTTATACCTTCAGTAAATGGAACTAAACGAGTATTTGACGAATTCCAATCAGGTCGAATTTCATTTATTACTTCATAAATTTCATTTGAAATATTTGATAATGATAATGTTACATTCTTAAATATTGGATATGAATACATCTTAAAATAAATTCATTTTTTATAAACATATTTTATATTAATCATTGATGGATTTATTCTTCTTTCATTGAGAAAGATCTCTTTAACTTTCATCTTGATTATATTCAATAATCAATAGATATTTGAATATTTTTCGATAAATATTTATTCTCAAAGATAAATTCTATAATTTTCCTCAAAAATCCTCTCATCAACATATTGTTGATATAGACGATTTAACTACTGATGTACATAAAAAAAAACCAGATGCTCCATTTGTTTCGTTCTATTAGAAATAAACAATTAGATATTATTTTAAAAAAAAATGTTCTTTATCTATTCATTGATTAATATGAAGATAGTTAAGAAAATAAAATATTATCTAAAATCTAAATAATGATAAAAATATTTTTCAAATAAATAATTCAATAGAAATAAAATAATCAATTTCTATACTATAACTGATTCGATTTAAAATGATAATCATTAGAAATGATATACCTACTATAGAATATTTTTTTGTTTTTTTTGCAATAAATATCTTCCTAATTGATCCTACCCAAAAACTAATAGGCATTTTTTCATAAATTTTAATCAATTATTTCTTTTTTTAGAAAGACATTAATTCAAGAATAAATAGAATATCGTCAAAGTAATATTTACAGAAGATGAAAGTAAATATTTAATTATTCGTTTGATTATAGACCAACGAAGATGTTAATTATCAAATCAGTCTTAGTATAGGAGCATAATAATTCAAACTTGGAAATATTTGAAGTTAAAAAAAAAGAGGGATCTGATTAAGAGCCTTCATAGATGCACTCATTTGTCAATAATCTGTAGTTAGTTAAATTGTCTCGTTCTTATCTAGAAGATTTTTCTAATAAAAGAAATTTATTTAATTGAAATAAAATATTTGAATGTATCAAACTATAAAAATAATCTCTTATAAATAAGTAATTTCTAAAATAAATAAATAAAAAAATGAAAATGATTTGTATAACCTTGAGCTTTATTGTTATTTCATTTAAGTGCAAGAACAAAAATTCTTATAGGTAAAAGTTCTCTAACAACTTTTTTTAATTTTGAAGATTGATCTTTAACAAGAATAAAACCAGCTCGATGAGCAATATCATAAAATTGTTCTCCGCTTCTAACATAATATTGATCATCTGGATCAAATTCAGGTTCTTGACCATTTCCAACACAATTATCTTTTATAACAATTAAACCATTTTTTTTTAATGTTAATTTTAATTTACGTAAAAGAGAAACAAGATCATCACCATCTAAATATCCTAATACCCCTTTAATAAATAAAAAAAATAAAAAAAAAATTGATTAAAATAAAAAATTTAAAAATAATTTTACATTGTGCCCATATAAGATCATATTTTGGAAATTTATTTAATTCAAGGTCACCAATTGAACAAACAAATGATTGATCAATTTTATTTTCATCATTTTCAAATAAAGTTCGAGTTTGTTGACAATATTCTTCCAATAAATCATTTATATCAATATGTTCAAAATAATTAGATAATAAATTTTTTGTTACTCGACCAATTCCACAACCAAGTTCAAGACAATGTGATGAACCTAATTTACCATTATATTGCTAAAACAAATATTTAATAAAAATAAAAATTTTAAAAAAAAAACATTTTTTTTTGTTTTCATATTAAATCAAACTTTAAAAAGTGATTGAAGTAATTGATTAGACTCTTGAATATCTGCATCATGTACTTGTGTATAACCACCTAACATTGTATCAAAAGTTTTTGGTCGAGATGAATAATAATTTCGTGTTACTCGTTGTCTTTCTTTAGCATCTTCATATTCACCTTCCATACGTTCATTCATTTCTGAACTTTCTTTCTTTTTAGACATTTTTTTTTCTTTATATTTATAAAAAAAACGATTATATCGGCCTGAAATCAGCCAAAGAGAAATAGTCATTCTATTGGTCAATCTATTCACCAATAGATATTCTACTATTTCTAATTAATTCATCAGTAAAGAGACACAAAAAATATAAATTTTGGAAATGGCTCTCTTAGTAACCTTCATTTAAAATGAATCAATTTTTATACGGAATATTTTTCTGATATCTGATAATTAAAATTCTTGTTCAATAAGATTGTCTTCTATTAGAAAGAAAAAACAAAAAGTTCAAATAAGAACGAGAGTAGTATCACTATTTGAAAAATGAAAATAAATGAGTTATATTATTTCTATTGCAACTATATTTTCTCTTGAAATCTTATTTGCTTCAGAGACCCAAACGAATCGAAGTTCTCGGGTTCGGTTCGGTTCAGTTCAAATCGTACCTATTCGAAAAATCTTATAATTATGCTGAACAAGTCCAATAAAATCGTAACTTCTTATAAGTCTACTGTCTATCAGACGACAAAGGAAGAAAAAAAAATAGTCCACTATGCATTAGCTTCCGATCGGTTGACCGATCGTCACGATAAACAACGAATCTTATTTATAACAATGTTCCGTTCGGTTCGACTCAAGTTTCAAAAACTCGATTCGGGTTTGGCCTCTGATTTGCTTTAAACACGATAGAACTTGACGGATAAGAGTTAGACTGTATCGACACCAATCGCAGTCTCGAAGAAAATCGTTCAGTAGTCGTGTTGATATTTGTCTTACTATAATATATGAATTTGGGAGAGTTTTTGGTGGTTGTCACTTTTCGGTGTTCCCTCTTTGATGGAAGAGTGGAGAAGTTGTTTCGTTGGTACAGGGCTCTCGAAATGTTTCATAGATTATTCATCTTTGATTTCCTGATTTGGAATATAGGAATCAATCGGCTTCTCTCTAAGCGTTTTTTTGTGGGAATAGGTGTTTGTGTTACTTTCTATTTTGGTGAAGAGAAAAGAAATTGGATTTAAGAATAGGTTTTTGAAACTTTGACTTTGGGATGTTGAATAATTCTGTACTGGTTTTGTGTTGTATTGAAAAGGTTTTGATATTATTATAGTTGTTGGGTAAAGTAGCTCGTGTGTTTTAGACTGTTTAAGATATATTCTACTTATCTTACGATTGGTGAAAGATTTCAATTAATTGTATCAGTTATCCGAGTAGCTAGCTTCACCTGGAAAATTTCAATAAACTAATTATAGATTGACACACAGAATTTTGATTCCTATAGAAAAATTTGAAAATCAATGTTGAAATGTAAGATCTTTAGCTGAAATCGAAAAATTTCGCCTGCTCTTTTCTTTCCAGAGAATTCTGATGGATGATGTGTGTTTTAATTAGTTGAGTTTTGATTTGACACCATTGATATCATTTTTGTAAAGATATACCAAAATAAAATTCTGTGGAAAGACTATCAAAATATAAAAACAATTTAAAGATTTAAATAAGTGAATAACTTGAAATAATTAAAAAAGAAAATCCAATGTCAGCTTTTTCTAAAAAAAAAAAGGAAAAGAGCAGGCGACATTTTTCTATTTCAATTAAAGATCTTATCTTTCAACAATGATTTTCAAATTTGTTTATAAAAATCAAAACTCTGTCTATCCAAAAACAGAAATTGTTTGGATGAAGTCCAGTCAATAGTGACATCAAACGAAAAAAATTTTAGGAAGGGATTTTTGGAATACCCTCTATATTCAATTGATATGAACATTAACTAAATGAGGTTAGGCCTGTTTTTCATTGAACAAATTTTCTTTTATCAAATAAAAACATGTAAATAATTATTGCTTCTTTTTTAGTGGATAATTTTTTCATGATAATACACGACTGATCTGAACACATTTGCATAATTATATATTCCTCTGTAATATATAAGACCCTTTAGGAAATACTTTTAATTGAAACGAAAGAGTTCGTTTATAATTATTCTTCGTATTCAAACTAAAAAATTTCTTAACGAGAAAAATCAATTTTCAGCTATTCGTTTAGTTGGTGCTCAACTGGTAAGATTACAGCTGGCATTTTCCCTCATAAAAAGTGTGTCTACCGTGTGATATTATAACATCACACAGTGCAACACTTTTCGTGGAAGAGGGGGGGGGGAGGGGGAAGGCGACACCAGCTAAATGAATACCCTTCAAACAAGTTTTTTCTTCTTTTTCAGGAGTTAATATTTTAAAGAATTTATTGAATATTGGTTAAAGAATTCTTGAGAAGAGGTCGCTATCAAATAAATATTTGATCATCTATTTAAATGAGCAAAGAGACTGTTAAATTTTATTCTTATTGTCGTCATGTTGTTTTACTCATAGTAGTGTATGCCATAAAATAGGAGTGAAGATAATCGATAGACGCTAAAACGTTCTAGTACTACTGGTTTTTTTATTGATTTTATTTCTAATGGTCTTTTATAAACCAATTAAAATGGTAAAAAACATAGTCAGAGAGGACATATCTTAACATATGAAAGAGAAATGAAAAAAAAATTCGAACTTTTTTAATTGAATTTGAAAATTGAAATAAAAATGACAAGTACTGGACAATATCCTGAGCCATGGAAAGGTACAGCAGCAACATTATTCAATCCATATTTAAATATAAATGAACTATCAAATCCAATTCGTCAACAATCTGTTCGTACACGTGTATTAACACCAACTCGACATTCTCGAGCTCCACCAGAAAGTCTTGTTGAAACAGGAAATCTAAAAGTAACAACATCAGAATCAGTGAAAAGACCAAAATCTAAACGATTTCCAAGTCAAAATGCAGCTGAGGAAGTTTCTATTTATGTTCAACAAATGATTCATAATCAATTTTGTGGTCGAAGTGGAACACCAGGTGATTTAAGATATGATGATCAACAATTAAGACGTACATTAAATACACCAAATAGTAGAATTACAATTAAAAAAAGAATTTCATCGAGCAAACAACGATCACGAGGTTAGACTTTTACTTATAGAATTAAAAAAAAAAAACAAGAAAATTTTTATAATGTTTTTTTGTTATTTGTGATTAGTATCTGAATATCCATTAGATGATTTTTTTACTACAGCTGATGAACAAATATCACGTATGACATC